GTGGTCCCTGAGAGTCCCTTCCCCTCTGTGGTACCCAGGTCCTCATCTGTCAGATGGGTGCAGTCACAGTGGTGGCGTGAGGATAAGAAGTTAGCACTGTAGCCATACCTGCCCCATTTGCCCCTCTTCCAAAGGGCTGAGGATCCCTGGTGGCGCTGTAGGGTAGGCCTTGGGCTGTTAACCACAACGTCAGTGGTTCAAACTCCCCAACCACTCCGAGGGAGAAAGAAGTCACATGCACTCAGAATACCCTCCAGTCTCAGAAACCCTATCTAGCATTGCTTGGGATTGGAATGAGTTTTGTGGTGGGTCCTTTGTTTTGTGTTGGTTGGTTTCGTACAGTCACACACTGTAGCTGGGTCCTGCTCCATGAGTAAGGCCTCCTCCATCATCAGACTGAGCAGAAATAGCTACAAAACCGAACACTGCCAGCCTGGCCACCTCGTTGGTGGCTGGCTTGCTCCCTGAAGTTGTCCAGGTGATCCCTGGCTCTCCTTTCTGGGACCCACAGTGTCAGAAGACACCCCCTCATCTGCCAGGAGGAGAAAACCAGTCAGGGGGCTGTGGAATTTAGGTGGGCATTGGGTTCAAGCCACAGGAAACTGGGGGATGCAGGGGTCACACTCTGCCTGGCTGCTTCCTGTTTCTGGCCTGGGAGGCAGGAGTGAACGGCATCGTGTACCGCTTATTTAAAAACAGGCCTTTCCTTGGCACATGGATCACACTGCATACTGAGTCTGTGCCAGGCACGGGGCTAAGTGACTGCCGTGCATTCATTTCTTTCATCCTCATCTGAACTCGGGAGGAAAGGGATGTTGCCCCCATTGTGTGGACAAGGAAACAAGCTCAGAGATAGGGCCTTGGCCCACGAAGGTCATCCAGCTAGCCAGGGCCAGGGCCAGGATTTGAACCAGGGTCTGAATGATACCACACTTGCACCTCCGCCCCCAGGCAAGGCAGAGGAATTGTACTACTCAGAAGAATTGGCCCAAAGAACAGAGGAGGAAGCCTGTAGAGAGGAACCAGTCATGCCCCTGTGAGCAAAAGTGGGTTCCCTGCCCTCCAGATTGGAGCGGGGACTCCCAAGGGAGTCTCTTGCTGTCCCACTGATGCTCCAAGCCAACTGAAGGCAGGGACAGCTCTGGGCCTTCACAGATGAGAGACCAGATCTCCCCTTCCTGTGTGGATGTGTATGCATTGGACTCTGGATAGTAACACATGATAACACAATAAAGAATGGGGATTCAAGAACATTAGAATTATGCCCACATGGAGCCTGTGCCAACAGACTGAAGCGAGCAATTGGTCTAGAAGACTAGTGGACCATGCAAGCCACAGTCGCTACCACCCTGAAATGAGAAGAACTAGATGGTGCCTGGTGATCACTGCTGCCCACTCTGACCAGAGTCACAGAACATCCTGGGTAGAAAGAGAAAAGTAGAAAACAAGAGTTACAATCGGGACAAAAAGACTGGGGGAACCTCTAAGACTGTGGTCCTTAGTTATTCTTCAGTAACTAAGGGGGGTGTGGGGGGGGGGGGTCACCTTGCAGCCAAACAGGCCTGCAAAGAGAACAGTGACTCAGTCATGCAAGACCTGAGTGGGGGGGGGGGGGGGCAGGAAAGAAGGGCAAATGGACACAGGAACCCCAGGGAGGAAGTGGGAAGAAGGCTGTTACTTCGATTGAATGAGAGTGAATTTTCTCCGTAAAATTTTACCCAAACTGAAATTTTTTTAAAATTAGGCAAAATGTGAGTCAAGGTTGTATCACCATACTTATTCAGCCTGTAGGCTGAGCACATCATCTGAGAAGCTGGACCATATGAAGAGAAATGTGGCATCGGGGGTGGAGGAAGATTCCCGACAGCCTGTGACATGCAGGGGGCACCACCTTCCTAGCTGAGACTGAAGGCGAAGGACTTACTGATGAAGATCGAAGAGAAGTTACCCATCAGCAGAACACGAACTGTTTCCAACTAGACCAGTCAGCGTCAGCGTGCTCAATGCAGACAGATGAGCCATGGTAAGGCTTTACAAACAGTGCCCACAGAACCAGCAGTCAAGATACCAAAGAGAGTATGTGGGCAAATCTGTAGCTAATAAAGACCTAGTTAGCGTGTTAGGAAGCAGGCACGTCACGTTGAAGACTACGGTGCACCTGACCCAAGCCAGGTGTTCACATTCGCCCCATAGACAGACATGTGGAAGCTGGACTGTGAGTGGAGAAGGAAGACCAGAGAAGGATGGAATCGGTGCATTTGAATTATGTAGTGTAGCAGAGAATTGACCTGCCAAAGGAGTGGATAAATCTGCCCTGGAAGTACAGCCAGAATACACTGTCAGGAGGGGTCAGTCCCTAGAGAAGGACGTCATGTTTGATATGGTGGAGAGTCAACCAAAGAGGGGAACCCTCTCATCACACGAATTGACAGAGGAGCTACAACTATGGGCTCAAATACTAGTAACTGTGAAGACGGCGCAGGCCCGCCCGGCATGAGTCTGTTGTAACAGTTGGAGTGGACTCGATGACACCGAACAACGCAGCATGTGGGATTGAGCCAAGTGCTATAAAATGCGTCTCACTCCTGATAGCGTAGTGGGTTATGAGCTGGGATGCTAACGTCAAGGTTCACGGTTCAAATTCACCAGCCACTGGAGGGATAGAGATGAGGCTTTCCATTCCTGGAATGAGTTACGCATCAGAAACTCACAGGGGCGGTTCTGCCCTGCCCTAAAGGTACTCATGAGTTAGAATCGGCTTGATGGCAAGGCGCCCCGTTTAATCTAGTTAACCACTGTTTGAGCTAGGTTCCAGGAGCTCTGGTTGCAGAGTGGTTACCTGTATATACTCGAGTATAAGCTGACCCAAATATCAGCCGAGGCACCTAATTTTACCACAAAAACGACGTTAAAAATGTGCTGGAAAACTTGACTTAGACACGAGTTAATACATTAGTCATCTGGCTGTTAACTGCAAGATCAGCTGTTCAAAACCATCAGCCACTCCAAGGGAGACGGACCCTTGGAAAGCCATTTCTACTCCTGTAAAGCATTAAAGTTTCAGGTTCTACCCTGCCCTGTAGGATCACTAGGAGTCAGCATGACTGATGGCAGCGAGTGAGTTTGTAGCTAGGTTTGGATAAATCCCTGCTGCAGAGAAGAAATGGAGGCTCAGATGAGCAGAGTCCTTTGGTCAGGAAGGCCCGGGCCTGTCCCTTCTGAGTGATGGGTGCAGGTGCAGACCTGCCGGCTGGGCTGTAAGGGCTGCCATTTACTGACAGGCACAGCCCTGCCTGCAGACCAGGTGCCTAGACCTTGGCCCCAGCAGCACCAGAGCCCCTGGGGCTCGCTCTCTGGGCATTGCTGTGTACCTTCAAGTTGTGGGGTATGATTTGCCCACCTTGCTTCCCCCCACCCCCCACTCCCGGCCTGGAATCCCCGATCACTTCCTGCCCTTTTGCGGAGCTTTGCAGGGGCAGCCAAATGGGCATGCTCTTTTCCTGCTCACCGCTGGGACCTAAGATCTGCCCCCAAGTAGGAGAGATGAGGTGCTCATGCGGCATCCGGGCCAGAGACTGCTGACCAGGGCCGTGCTGGGAGGCATAGGGGATGCCCTGAGACCTGGCCCCACGCCCTCCGAATGGAGCCACTGTTAGGATGAGTGACTCACTGCGTGGGTGGTCTGAATTCCCAGTTGTGTGAGGCAGCATGGCAAGCGATGCTGTTTAACCAGTCCTGAGCGAGCCCCCACTTTGTGGTCTGAGTTAGAGATCTGATGACACCTTCCCTCCTCTCAAGAAGCTCAGTGCCTCCCAGGGCTGGAGGGTTGGGCCGGTGCTGGCCAAACAGAGCACAGAGGCAGGACAAGGGAGGTGGATGGACAGGAACCTGGGCCGGCCCACACTAGTGCCTGGAGTTCAGCAGGCAGCGAGCCTCTGAGATTGCCTCTGAACCAGGACTGGCAACAGTTGTCAAAGCAAACAAGGACTTGCCCAGAGGCTCCTGGAAGCTCCTCTTCCTGCCCACGCCCATGCCCTGAGCATGGAGTGTACACAGCGGTGCAGTTGGCTCCCTGCCCACCTCAGTGCTGGCCCAGGGGTGGGAGTGGGCATGGGGAGCCCAAAAGAGGCTGAGGTTTTTTCCCAGGCCTGCTGTGGGCAGTTTTCCCTGAGGGCATCTGGGCACCCCTGCATTAACTGATCCCGCCACTGATGTCTGATAATGGGCTGGCTGGCAGAGGGAGGCATGCCCCGTCCTCATTGCTGGACTTTCTGGAGCTGGAGCTTGGCCTTCTTTGCACCACCCTCTGCCAGGAAATGCCTTTTGGCCTTGCAGCAGCCACCTGCTCGGTGCTCAGACACCACCATCCCACATAGAACCTCCCAGTATAGCCTCACCGTGCTGAGCCTCCTGTGGGGTGTGGAGCAGAGTGGTGCTTGCTGGGAGCTTGAGACCAGGCCCAAGGAGACAGGGCCCACCTGCTCACCACCACCTCCTGGGAGCCAGCGCCCTGCCCAGTTGTCATCGCGTGCATGTGTGTCTCCAGCCGTGACGTCTTGTCTGGTACTTGTTTGTCATGGAGTCACTTGGGGCAGCTTTCCAGGAGCTCTGCTGGTACAGCGGTTGAGCACTCGGCTCCTAACAGAAAGGTGGGCAGTTTAAGCCCACCAGTTGCTCCATGGGAGAATGGCAGGACAGCCTCAAGCCCCTGGGGCAGCTGCACTCTGTCCTTCAGGGTCAATGTGAGCAGGTTTGGGTGGAGTCCGGAAGGCAACTTAATGTTGGGGGAAGAGCGCATGCTGTGATTTGGGGCTGTAGTGTTGGGAATGGGGGGCAGGTTTCAGGTGGCACCCTCTCTGGGTCGCTGTGAAGATGCCTCAGGTGTGGGGGCCAAGGGCCTGACTGTGGGCAGGTATTGGGCAGCACCTGTTGTAGCCTCAAGCTGTGGCCAGCATTCTGGCAGCCCTGACAGCCGTGCTCTCTTCTCTCTGTTCCCCCAGACCTTCACAGCCTGGTGCAACTCCCACCTGCGGAAGGCCGGCACGCAGATCGAGAACATCGACGAGGACTTCCGAGACGGGCTCAAGCTCATGCTCCTCCTGGAGGTCATTTCAGGTGAGGTTCTGAGCCCCAGCCGCGGAACATGAGTTTTGGAGACACTGGCCCCCACCCCCCAACTGCCCGTGTGCCCCTGGTGAGACCCATGCAGCTGCAGAAGCAGTGCATCCTGCATGGGTTGCCAGGCACCTCTCACGTATCTTTCTGTTGTAGGAGAGCGGCTGCCTAAGCCGGAGCGTGGCAAGATGAGGGTTCACAAGATCAACAACGTGAACAAAGCACTGGACTTCATCGCCAGCAAGGGTGTCAAGCTGGTCTCCATTGGCGCCGAGGGTGAGCGTGGGTGGGGGCCAGGCCCAGGGCACCCACCACCTCTCATGCCAGACAGAAGTGGTTCTCAGTTAACACTCAGCAGGGACCACACTGATGTCCCTCAATGGGACGTGGGCCCCATAATCGTGTCTTCCCCCACCCCACCCCCCAAGAACTACCATCTGCTCTGGACCTGGACTCTGATGTCCCCTGGTCGTAAGGGGAAGGCTTCTGAAGGACATGCAAACCTCTTCCCAGCCCTCCTCATGCTGAGCCCTGCGAGACACTGGCATGGCCTCTTCCTGTGCTGAGAGCACCTTTGTTGTCATGCCCCTGCCTGGTGTTTGCAGAGGCACCCTGGTGGCAGTGTGGGTTAAGCAGTGAGTTGCATCCAGAAGGTCGACAGATGGAAACCCTTTAGGGTCAGCGCCACTTCCTACTACAGGGTCCCTCTTAGTTGGTAGGATTGGTGTGGGTTGGTGGGTAGGAGAGGATGCAGGTCTATGGGTCGCAAACCCCAACAAGGTTCCAGGTGCTGGGCTGCCTCAGGTTCACCCTCTAGCCAGCTAGGATCGGCCCCAGGCCTTCCCACTCAGGCAGTGCACGTGCGTCCCTCCCGCAGCGGGCTCGTGAAACGGTCTCTGGGGTGGTGTTCACAGGCACACAGGGAGGCAACGTGCGGCCTGACAGTGCCCCACAGCTTCCCATCCATCCGCTGGCCAGCCTGTTCGTCGGTTCATCAGGCAGCAGCTGTCCTTGGCCGGGCAGCTAGGCTGCCCAGCTTGTAGAAAAACACAGAAAATTAATTGCTGTTAAGGACAGGCCTCTGAGCGTGTGGCCAAGACTCCAGGCCAGAATGTGTGAACTGAGTTCCAGGATTCTGCCCTGGCCTGGACCTTGCCCAGAAGGCTGCCAAGCCAAGAGTACCGCAGTCAGGCCGGGCGGGAGGAGGGGTGTACCTTGGCCATTTGTTTAACAAACAAACCAAAAATCAAAACCCAGCCAAGCACTGAGATTTTTTTGTCTTCTCGCGGGGGAACCTATCCTCCCAGTTGTGGTAGCCTGTCCCTCCCAGCTGGACATCCTTGTAAAGAAAGACAGGGTGGTTGGAGCAGGAGTGGGCTGGCTCCAGTGTTCACGGGGAGAACCCCACGCTGGCCCCCTTGCATTCTCAGTAGCCTGAGTTGAGTCTGTCTCAGGTGGAGGGGCTTAGAAAACACCTAAAAGCCCTACCCTGCCGTCCGCCCCTGGGCTGTTACAGTGACTGCAGGTCAGAGAAGCACGCAACCCACCCACCCCACCCCCCAAATCCATTTGTGACATTCAGCCAGGCAGCACCCACAGGAGGCTCTGCCTGCTTCCTGGGTTGAGGGGCTTCGCCCTGAGAAAGACATTTGGTCCCCCTCCTCCCACCCCTGCCAGGTGGCCAGCAGAGCCCCCTTTTTCATCTTGGGTGGGTCCCGGGTTACCCTTCTCTCCCATCTTGCCCACCCTAGAGTTTCCAGGTTTCAAGGGTCAATGCGCAAGCGCTCACTGCCTTCTCCGGCTCTGTCCTGACCCGGTGCTGGCCCCTTAGCACCCCTCCTCTCAGGCAGGGGTGCTGCAGCAGTGCTTTTGCTGGCTCCATCCTCCTCCACCCTTCCTCCTTTCCACCTGCTGTGGGGGGCTGTGGGGGAAGCCTCAAGCACAGGCTCTTCGAGGGCCACCGCGGCTGGCTGGCTGACCGACTGGGTTGAGACCACTTGTCCATAAGTCTGCTGAGTGCTGCAGAGCTGGGTCTGTAGGTTGCTTTAGACCAGCGGTTCACCTTCCTAATGCCGTGACCCTTAAATACAGCTCCTCCTGTCGTGGTGACCCCCAACCAGAAAATGATTTTCATTGCTACTTCCTCACTGGAATCTTGCTACTGTTATGAATCAGGCAACCCTGGTGAAAGGGTCGTTCCACCCCCAAGGGTGGGTCAACCCCCAAAGGGGTTGCGACCCACAAGTTGAGAATCACTGCTTTAGACCCTCATCTCTCACAGCCTGGAGTTTTGAGACGAGGGTGGTTCGGTGGAAGCCTGCAGCTGCCTGCTGAGCCTCAGGTCTCTGTGAGCCCGCTCCCTTGCATGACCGCCCCCTGCCCTCAGGCCCACAGGCTGTGAGAGTGGGGAGGGGAGCAGAGTGCTGGGGTGACTGGAACTGGGACAAGGTGGAGGGCTCCCTTAGACGGCTGGTCAGGGAAGCCATTACTGTGGGTGACACAGAAGCAGAGGTGGAGCTGAAAGCTGGTGAGAAAAGCTGGGAGCAGGGGACCAGGGCTTCCTGTCAGTGACAGGAGCTGCGTGAGCTCTGGGAGAGGCGGGAGAGGCCTGCACTAGGGTTGTGGTTGGGGAGCCGGAGGAAGGGGGCGGAGTCTTGGCAGGTGACACGGCAGCTCCCTCCATGATGGGAGACACTCGAGTGGGCAGGGGCTGTGTGGCTGAGGAGATGGATGGACACCTGCTTGAGGGCTCCAGACAGCAGGCTGCTAGGGAAAGTGCTGTCCCCAGTGTGCACAGGGCACTGGTGGTCAGCACTGGTCTCTGGACTTGGCTGCTGAGGGACCAGAGGTGCCTGACTGGGGCTCTGACCTGCTCTCTGCTCTCCTGTGTGCAGAGATTGTGGACGGCAATGCAAAGATGACCCTAGGCATGATCTGGACCATCATTCTCAGGTTCGCCATCCAGGACATCTCTGTGGAAGGTAAGTGCCCAGGCCTCCCTATGTCTCTCCTCTGTGACCACCTTAGGTCCCGGCTCCTTGGTACCACGTACAGGGACAGGACGGGACGGGCCCTCACAGGAAGGAGTGGTTAGTGTGTGGACACAGACCCAGGGCTGCAGCGGAGGGAGGTCCCAGCCATTCTGAACCCCATCCCTTCTCGCCACCTCTCTGTGGACTCTCACATCCCCCTTTGTGAGGTGGGCAGGCAGCCTGGCCACATTGTATGGTTGATGAACCTGGGTCAACAAGAAGGCCTAGTCACTCGGCAAGCTGCTGACAGAGTCGGGCCTGGGCCTGGGTCTTCTTAACGTCTGTACCTTCACCTTTCCACCACACACGGATTTGAATCTGTGCCCGCACGTCCTGCTGTCAGCTCAGGACCCCAGGAATGAGTGACTTTCCCTCTAAGCCCTGGTGTGCATGGGCTGAGCCAGACCACCCAGTGCAGGGGTCAGGTCACAGTGGTGACCAGTAGATGGCTCCACTATCCTCAAAGAATGCTCCATCTTCCCAGGCAGCCAGAGGATAGGTGACACTGGGTTTGGGGCCCAAACCCTAGGGCACAGAGGCTTCCTCTGAGGGCCAGAGCCCAGTGCTCAATATCAACCCCATCCTGAGAGGCAGAGGCCAGTGTATCTTGGTGGTGAGAAGCCTAAGTCCGCTGAGCCTGTCACTCAGGACCTGCATGTCGATGTTCAGACCAGCAGAGGTCAGCCTGTGCCCGCTGGCAGCAGCCACGGGTTCTTGTGAGGTGTGGCCAGCATCCCCCTGGAGTTGCCTGACCCCTAAGACTGGTGTCTGAAAGGGCAGTCCAGCGGGGCCCCAGCTGGGCAGGTTTGATTCTGCACTAAGCTCACGGTCCTGGTGTGTTTCGCAGAGACCTCTGCCAAGGAAGGACTCCTCCTCTGGTGCCAGCGGAAGACAGCGCCGTACAAGAACGTCAACGTGCAGAACTTCCACATCAGGTGAGCGCCATGGGGACCCGCCCACGCACGGTCCTCCCTCACGTCCTCACAAGGCCCGAGGAGTTGTGTGCGGCCGGCCCCTGGGAGCTGCCTGGCAGTCCTGGGCTGAAGGTGTTGAGCCCAGCCACTCCAGGGCACGACGTAGAATCGTCTCCCCCAGAAGGCTCTCAGAAGTGGGGAGCAAGCTTTGTCCTTAGCTGACATCTTGCAACGAGGCTGATCTCAGCGCTGGGGCTTGCATATCCATGGGCACTGTGATGAGCAGGCCCAGCTGTGGCTGCACAAGCCCCCCAGCCTCCTCTCGGGGAGAGAGAGCAGCGAGGTGTGTCTCTGGCCCCCAACAGGGGGATGGTGGTCAGTGCTACCCATTACTCAGAGTGAGGGGGTGGGGGTCAAGGAGCCAGGAGAGTGGGCTTTGGGGGGCGTCCAGCGAGCTCACCCCTCTGAGCCTGTGGTGAGCCAGGGGTGGGCACACCTGGGAGTAGAGGTGAGCCCAAGAGTCCCTGCTGCACCCATGGGTTTTCTGGAGTCACAGCCCTGAACCTGAGGCCCTGCCCCAAGTCTGCTGTCACAGCACGCCACTTTCCCCTCAGCTCTCCTCCCCGCCAGCCCTCTCTGCTCTTGTCATTCATTTGTGTACTCCGTGTGATCAGTGACCCCGGATCTGCGTGCCCCAGTGGGAGACAGTAGCACCAGGGCAAAGCCCTGCACTCCTGGAGTTCACATGGTCTCAGGCAGGTCCCACTGTGACCCAGAGTGCATGCCAATGCAGCCTGCTCCCAGGTCATTGGGAGCACCCCACAGAGCAATAAAACGGGAGGGAGGAGGAACAGGGAGTCTCATAGCTCTGTGGCCCAGAAGGAACCGGCTGTCCTCCCAGGTTCCCAGGGAGGAGAATGTGCCCGGGTGTCATGTTCATGCTGAGCCACACCCTGGCACCGTGGCAGGTACTGATGGAAGTGCTCCCTGACTTTCGCGGCAGTGCTGTTGTCATTCCCATTCCACAGATGTGGAAACAAGGTGCCAGGAGTGGGGAGCACTTCCTTAGGTCACACCGGGGCACCAAGAGCTGGCTCCTGCTCATGCCCCCTGCCATGCAGCCATACCACCCCGCCTCTCCAGTATCCCGCACTCTGACTCCCCAGTAGTGGGGAATGGCTCTCCCAAGATGAAGGATGCGCTCCTCTAACCTTTGCATTCCCGTCTCCAGCTGGAAGGATGGCCTGGCCTTCAATGCTCTGATTCACCGGCACAGACCTGAGCTGATCGAGTACGACAAGCTGAGAAAGGTACCTGCCACCAGCCTCTCCATGTCCCGCCTCCCACCAGCCTCTGTGTGAGGGCTGGCCCTGCTGAGCAAGGGTGGCTTTTCCCTGTGGCAAGCCCTCGCCCCTTGGTCCCCTCGGTGACCCCTCTCCCTCCCCGGCTTTGTAAACAGCCTTGGATATTTTAGGCCTGGCCAGCCATGCCTCTCCTTAACCTTTTGCGTTCTGGAAGCACCCCCCTCCGAGGGCCTGTCATGCGGGAAGCATCTCAGACCGTCTCGGCATTTCCTGTGCTGGGGCCTTCCGTTGGCCTGCAGAGCCTCGCCTCACCCTGTTGGAGCTCACAGCCACTTAGGGCAAGGGGTCAAGACGGGTGCAACTCAGAGACCAGTCAGCCAAGGCCCCGCCCATGAGCTTAGGCTGAACATGGTGGGCGAGGCATGGAGACCCCTGAGCTAGCGTCGCCGAGCCCCTGTAGGAGGCTCTCGCCAGAGATGGGACAGGTGGGCTTTGAGATCTATCTATATGCTGTGGGGACACGTGTGTGAAGGGATGCTGAGGGTGGTGACCACCGGGCACAGCAGCTGGCTCTCCCGAGTTGCCCACTCAAGTCTTGACCACACCTTTGGGTGGAGCTGATGTGGTGGGGCTTAGGACAGGGGCTCTCAGCCTGGGGTCTCCGGCGGCTGAGCATGGTAAAGGACAAGTGCGCCTACATTTTATCACAGCTCACCCTAGGGATTTCAAGAGCGGCTCCTGTGTGTTAGGGTGCTCCCCTCAGCGTCCTTCCTCCCCAACCTGCCCCTGTTCCCGTCCTTCTGTGCCCTGCCCCTGACGAGTTCTCCTTACTCCTGTCCCCAGGACGACCCTGTCACCAACCTGAACAATGCCTTCGAGGTGGCTGAGAAATACCTTGACATCCCCAAGATGCTGGATGCGGAAGGTAAGGCCTCCTTGGTTGGATCACCCGTGACGCCTTTGAGTGGCCTCACAGGCCAAGAAGGCCTGCCTTGATCTGGGCAAGGCGGGCCTCACAGGAGCAGCCCAGGATGGAGGAGGGCAGGGAAGGGACGGCCCGAAGAAGAGCAGCTCTCTGGCCCCTGCCCTGCCCAACTGATCGGGCCCTCCCACAGGCAGTGGCCAGGGGCCCGAGAAAGGCTGGCTCCAGGCCTCCTGCAAGCGACTCGCCTGCCCAAGTGGAGAGCTTTGTTTTTTCCTGTTGAGACTCGCTCCGTTCCCAGCCAGTGTTGCCTGGGCTCTCATGGCCCTTGGAGCTGACTCTCCAGCAGCCCCTTGAGGCCGGGTTCAGAGGGAGGAAGCAGCCTCCTCTTAATCCAGTTCCCACAGCCTTGGCCCCTCTAGAGATCTTGGGGATGGTGGGCTGAAAGTGTGGCCCAGGCCACCTAGGTCCCTGCTGTCCACTGAAACAGCGTTGAGGGCCGTCTTCCGGGATGCCTGTGGCCCCCGGCGTAGCCCCTTCTGAGCCCACCGCTGGGTGCTTTAACCCTTGTCCTTCACTTGCAGACATCGTGAACACTGCCCGGCCCGACGAGAAGGCCATAATGACCTATGTGTCCAGCTTCTACCATGCCTTTTCGGGAGCGCAGAAGGTACCGGGCAGGACCGGGCAGGCCCAGTGCCGCTGCTGCCTCTCGCCTCCCACGCTCACCTCGTTTCTGTTGCAGCAACAGTGGCCTCTGTCTGATTGGAAGCCTACCCCCGACTCTTTGGCTGTGCTGCTCCTTAGTGGTTGTCCCCAAGTCCCTTCTGGCTTCTGCCCGGCCCTGTTCCAGCGCCAGGGCTGCCGTGGTGGCCAGGTTCAGCCAGGCCTTTCCTCCCTGAGTGGAGGCCCTGGTGGGCAAGGCAGACCCCAAAAGTCATCTTCTGGGCTGGCAGGCACAGCAGAGGGTGGAGCAGGAAGCTGGGGCTGGGCACCAGGGGGCCTTGAGGAAGTGAAGGGAGTGGGTTGTCGGAAGGAAGCCAGAGCAGGCAGCCGTCGGGTGAGCGCACAGGCCTGAGGTAGGTTCCAGGCTCCTGTCCACCTCAGGAAGGTGCTGGAGAGGACAAGAATGGAGCTGGAGAAGGTGAAGGCCACTCGTCAGGACCCCCGTAGCCTGGGCTGAGGACAGGGGAGGCTCTGCTCCAGTGGCAGGTAGTGGCCCGTCACCTAAGCCTCTGTTTTCATGGCCGTCATCTGGCATTCGGCCTTACAGCCCAGGAGGTCTCCCGCGTAGAGCAGTGTTTGCACATCCAGCCTTGGGACAGCAAGGACTCCCTATCCCCCAATACCTCTGCCACCAGCCAGCCAGGCCTGAGCGGGGTCTGGCTTCCAGTCCACAGCGAGCGCTGTTCTTCCTGCATGCACATGGCTGCCCGGCGCCCTGCAGCTGTCACTCTTGCCTCTCTCTCTCTCTCTCTCTGTCTCTCTCTCTCTGTCTCTCTCTCTCCAGATATTGTAGGCACTCTGAGGCCAGACGAGAAAGCCATCATGACTTATGTGTCCTGCTTCTACCACGCTTTCTCAGGGGCTCAAAAGGTGAGCTGGGGTGGGAGACCCCTCGCTGCTATAGTTGGAGACGCTCCCTCACATCAGCACTGCCCGCCTGGCTGTGTCTGCAGGCCCCGGCCCGGCTGCAACCCCATCAGGCTTCCGACTTGGGGACACCACCCACCCAGGGATGTGACAGGGTCTCGCCTGGGGGTTCAAAGCCAATAGAATGAGCAGGTGTACGGCCCTTGCTTCCCAGATAGGACGCTGCCGCCTAGGTCACATCACAGGCAGGTCCCATTCCTGCTGATGGGCGTTGGCCGCCAGCCCCTCCCCACAGAGCAGCCCTGCACTGGCTTCCCATGATCCTCAACAGGGCTGCCTGCCTGGACAGGCTTGGCAAGAGCAGGCTGGTCTCCTGCTGACCCAACTCTCGGAGCTCCTGCCCTCTTTAGAAGCCCTGGCATCAGTGATGCAGGCATCTGGGACTGTTCCCAGTGGCCACTCTCCTGAGCCGGGCTGGCCTCCCATTGTTGAGCCCCCTTCCCTCCCCACCCCATTTCCCTCACCACTCAAGTCAAGGACCCTCAGCTTACTGAACGCATAGCTCCCACCTTAGAGAAGAGAGGCCAGGCCCTCCATCCCCTCTGTGGTGGCCTGGGCAGCAGCTGGCTCCCAGTGACTTGATTTGGTGTCACTTGTTGGCGAGGAGGAATACAAACCCCAAAACCATACTGCCGTGGAGTCGATGCCAATTCACAGCAACCCGCGGACAGAGTAGAACTGCCCCAGTGATTTCCCAGGCTGGAAATCTTCCCGGGAACAGAAAGCCTCTGTCTCCTGCAGAGCAGCTGGTGGGTTTGAACTGCTGACCTGGTGGGTAACAGGACATTAACCAAAGGTTACAGGACAAGGGCTGTGCCTGCGGCCCTCTGTGTACCCGCAGTGTCCCTACTCTTCTTCCTCTTAGCAGTGTGACCCTGAACAAGTCACAGTGCTCTGTGCCGTCATAAAACGGGATCGTTGTAGAACCAACCTCACCCAGGAGTTATCTGAGGGTGAAATGAGCAAGTGTAGGCGAAGGGCTTAACCACAGTGGCCAGCAGAGACTCACCCACTGCCACTAAGCCCAGTCCAGCGCCCGCAGCCCTGCAGGACAGCTCTGTAGGGTTCCGGAGACCTCGAATCTTAGTTGACTCAGACAGCCTCAAACTTCCCCGGAGGGATAGCTGGTGGTTTTAAAGAGCTAGCCTGGCAGTTAGTGGAGCCTGGTGCTTCATGCACCTTGCCAACAGGGCTCAGGTAGGCTCTAGGTGCTGTGTAAGCAGGAGGGGGTCTGTGGGCAGATAGTCCTGTGTGTGCCAGGTCCTCGCCGACCTGCCTGGCATGTGGCTGGAGCTTGTGCTTGGGTGGCACCATGGAAGAGTCCTCCCCGAGTCCCCCAGCTAATAGCGCTAGATACACCTCTCTGGGCCAAGAAGTCTAAACTTGCCTATCCCCCAGACTGCCTTCCTGGCCCTGTTGCTGCCGGAGGGGATGCTTGAGGCTGCTAATCGGGCTGGTTTTAGGTGACTGGCCCCAGGATGCTGGCTGCCCATGTGAAAGAGAAAGTGATACCGGGTATAGAGCGCCTCCACCCCCAGGAGTCCACGTCCCTCAGACTGGCCTTGACTTCTGGAATATACCTGTCATGCTTCAAAGTGTTGGCAGGAAAGGTCCCTGTGACACACTCACTTGGTCAGGCAGCAGCTGTGCACCCCCAAGCCCCCCAAATGCACCGGGCCGGGAGCTCCGCAGAAAAGCAGCAGCCCCCTGCAACCCCACCTGCGCTGGGGGACAGGGACTAACCTCAGTGAGCCCCCTGCCCTGGCTCTGACTCTTCCTCACTCACTCGGGGTGGGGGTTCATCAGCTGTAGCCCGGGGCTCTGCCTGGTGGCCCTTAGTGTGTTCCTGCGGCATGACATGGTGTGTGCGTGCGTGTGCCTGTGACGCCCCGTGCTCCCATTGGGGCCGTCTCCCCAGCCTCTGTTTTCCTCCCCACCGCTCTGTAGACCCTCCTCACTATTTCTGTTCCTGTTCTGTTGCCGTTTCAACTCCTCCTCTTGGACCCTTTCTGTGCTTCCTGAAAGGTACCTGGTCTCCCTGCTCAGTGTGGCGCCCACACCCTCCTGTTCCTCTTCTTCCTCTGCACCTGTGTCTCCCCACAGGACCAGGCAGGGCTTCCTCCGGGCGGGGCTTCTCTACCACTCCCTGTTCTCTGAGGCCCTGGAGCTACTGCCCTGGGAGTGCTTTTGCCCACGTGAGCTCCATTTGACAGCCAGGCCGAGGACGCACCGTCATGTGCACTCAGCATGGCCGCCAGTCTGTTCCCTGGCTCCCTGGGCAGGATGGCACCCTCCCACCTGCCCCAGCCTGCTGCCCACCCACCCCACTTGTGGGAAAGTTCCATTCCATTCCACCCTAAGGGAGACTCTAAGGGGTGGACCTAACCAGGTCCCTCCCCCAGACCCACCCGACTCTGTGGGGCCCAGGACCCACCATACCTCCCCCAGACCCTACACTGAGGTCCCCAGGACTCTACCAGGCCATCCCCAGGGCCCCTCTCGAGAGGGTCAGAGCCCCACTAGGTCTATCCCAGCCCCTGACCCCTACCAGGCCTCTTCCAGATACCTTCCCTGTGGGGCCCAGGACCTCACCAGGTCACCCCCCTTAATCTGTGGGCCACCAGGCAGCCTGTGGATCTCTTTCTACAGTCCCTCCAGGGCCCAGAGAGCTGGGACCCACTGTCCAGTAAGGCATGTGTAATCAGCCTTCAGGACCCTCTGGGCCTCTCTGAACATGGGCTGACCGCTGCAGCTCCTCTTCCTGTCCTGGACCCTCCTCGGGGACCGTGAATGACCCAGCTTTCAAGGGACGTGCCTGTGAGGAGGGAGGGTTCCAGCTCCCAGGCAGCCCTGACGTGATGCTCCCCCTGCCCCAGGCGGAGACTGCCGCCAACCGGATCTGCAAGGTGCTGGCCGTCAACCAGGAGAATGAACACCTGATGGAAGACTACGAGAGACTGGCCAGTGACGTGAGTGCCCTGCTGCTCAGGGCTTTACCAGAGCTGAACACTCAGGTCACCTCCTTGTCCCCTTGGCCAAAGGCCACTGTGATGGCTGCAGGGGAGAACAGGGGTGGTAGCCAGATCTCCCAGAGAAGGCTCTGGGCTGTAAGGCTGGGGTGCCAGCACCTCCTGCAGGCTCGATCTGGGCCCTTACTCGGCGTTTCTAGGACATTGTTGCCTGTACCCCTGGGGGATTAATCCAGTGAGGGGAGAGGCTGTCGGGGCTGGCACAGTGGCAGACATGCCTGGCTTTCTGTGGGCCCGCAGCTCCTCGAGTGGATCCGCCGCACCATCCCCTGGCTGGAGGACCGCGTGCCCCAGAAGACCATCCAGGAGATGCAGCAGAAGCTGGAGGACTTCCGAGACTACCGGCGCGTGCACAAGCCGCCCAAGGTGCAGGAGAAGTGCCAGCTGGAGATCAACTTCAACACGCTGCAGACCAAGCTGCGCCTCAGCAACCGGCCCGCCTTCATGCCCTCCGAGGGCCGCATGGTCTCGGTGAGCGAGCCACCCGGGGTCCCGCTGCACCCCAGAACTGCCTGCCAGCAGTCTTGTCATTACGGTCGCCTTCCTTTTTATTGTGGCAAACTGTGTATTCACTATGTCCTATGTGCACTGTTAAAGTCTACACTGTAAACTGTATGTACCGTGTACACTGTAGCTCCATACACACTGTGTAATCTGCATCCTACTAAACTGTACACCATACGCTACACACTATGGACACAGCTGTATATGCTGTGTTCACTAAACCTGAGAGAGCCGGAGTCTGTCAGCAAAGGAAAACCCACGTATTTCCCACTCAAACAAGCAATAGCAAAGTGGCCCGCCTCGCCTGTCAGAAGTGGGAAGCTCTTGGCATCTCGGGAAACGAGGCAGGTGCTCCCACTTGGTTCAGGCCCTCCCAGGTGTCGCTGTCACCGTGTGTCAGTGCATGGGTCAGTGGCATTGGGTGCACGTCCCCCACCCCAGCAGGCACTCGGGGCCTTGCCCCTGACCTTCCAGGCAGTTGCCAATTGCCCAGTATCCAAAAGCAGGGTGTCTGGGACCGAGTGGTATTTCTTTGTTCTCCCAGAGTGCCCACCCTCTGAGGCCCTTAGAGGGGGGGTGGGCTTGCCCAGCCACCCCACTCCCTCCAGTTTTACTGCCAGGGTTTTGTACCAGCCCCTTCTCTAGCCCCTGTGCCTTCGGACCCCAAGCATTGTCAGGCCTCTTCGCCAAGGCAGACGCCTTCTGGTGTCATCGAGCCTGCGTTCATCTTCCGTTCCCTTGCCGGCGGGGGACGGGAGAGAGTGCTGACCTGGCCCCGCTGCCCTGATGACCCTGCCCTGCTGCCCGCAGGACATCCACAATGGCTGGCAGCACCTGGAGCAGGCCGAGAAGGGCTACGAGGAGTGGCTGCTGAACGAGATCCGGCGGCTGGAGCGGCTCGACCACCTGGCTGAGAAATTCCGGCAGAAGGCCTCCATCCACGAGGCCTGGACCGACGGTAGGGCCCCAGCCTGTGTGAGCCTTGGCTGTGCTCAGGCAGGCACTGTGCTCGTGGCCGCAGGCACTGAGGCCAGGCCTCGGCCAAGTTCCTCGGGCCGTCTTCAGGGTCACAGCTGAGATCAGCCACCTGCCCCATCGGGACGCAGTCCCTGCGTGTGCCAACACCACCGAGATGGGCGCCCTGTGAGTGCACGTCCCCCACACCCCTGTGATCATGGATCTCATGCTGAAGAGCCCCCCGGGACAGGTCACTACAACAGCAGTTCAAAGCAAGGCCTGGGAGCTTCGTCACACAGACACACACACACACACACACACACACACGCCCCCAGGGACAGGTCACAACAACAGCAGTTCAAAGCAAGGCCTGGGAGCTTCGTCACACAGATACACACACACACAGACACACACACCCAGGGACAGGTCACAACAACAGCAGTTCAAAGCAAGGCCTGGGAGCTTCGTCATACAGATACACACACACACACACACACACACACACACACACACACACACACACACACACACCACCCAGGGACAGGTCACAACAACAGCAGTTCAAAGCAAGGCTTGGGAGCTTCGTCACACAGATACACACACACACACATGCACGCACACACACACCACCCCCACCCCTCTTGGGACCTGGCCCCCTGGAAGATGGCTTCTCCCCCAAGAGTAGCTTTTTTCCGGTTCTCAGAGGCCCTGCAGCTGCCTGTTCCCTTGGCTCACACTGTAGAATTCCATCACGGCCCTGGCCCTAGGTCTGGACCACACCGACCTTGGATTCCACATCCTGGAGGCGGGAGCCTTGGGAGCACAGGGTGCCTGGGAAAGCCAAGCACACCCCACCCCCACCCCCACCCTAGGAGTCACTCCTCCCTCTGCCTTCCAGCCTCGTGCTACCAGCTGGTGGCATGTCCTTATGTTGTAGAGGGTGGTTTCTTGTCACCCCTGGGCTTCTCCAGCTCCTCCATCTGCTGCTTGGGCAAGCAGCCCCAGTCCTCTGACCAGATGCTGGGCTTCTTATGTAGAGGCCCTGCCTTATCTAGAGACCCTCCTCACTCACCAGCATGTTCTGAAGCCAGGCCACCACCACCACCCCTGTATCCCTGGCTGCATACTAGCATCCTGCCTTCCTTACGTTAGCCCGATGGCTCAGCCCAGCTGTCCTGTAGCAGGAGCCACTGGATCCCCTAGGAAGTGCTGGGGAGCATGTAGGCGGGGCCAGGCCTCAGGCAACTTGCTTGTGTCCAGCAGAAATGCCCCCTGTGTGTTTGCCCTGCTTGTCTGGGGTGAGGGGTGGGGTGTTGGCTGAGCCGCCATCTGGGGTGGACAGCATTTCATCTTCGCTCACTCTGTCAGCACACACCTGCCGAGCCTCGGCCGGGCTGGCCTGCTCTGAGCTGCTTCTCAAGTAGAGAAGGTCACTGCCCCAGGGCGCACAGCCCACTTGTCCTGTCTGGCTTAGGCTTTGGGAGGGTTTTATAGATTCCCTTAGTGGGCACTCGGCTGCTAACCTCAAGGTCAGCAGTTCAAACTCACCAGCTCTACAGGAGAAAGATGAGACTTTCTACTCCCTTGCAGAGTTAGTCTGGGACACTCACAGGGGCAGCTCTGCCTTGTTCTGTAGGGTCGCCATGAATTAGAACTGACTTAATGGCAATGTGTTGTTGCTCCTGGGCTCCGATTGCGGGGGCCCACCCAGCACCGCCCCTGAGAATGGCTCCCAGGCTGGCCTTCCCCTGAAGGTGTTTGCAGCTCTTCAGTGTTGGGCTAAGGCCCAGGCTGTTCATCAGCCTCCACATGCCCCACCCAGCCCCGCCTGGCACCGCCTCCCCCACAGGTGCGCTGGCATCTTGCCCTGCCCTTCTCGGCTGCCCAGACATCCCCCACTCACCCTTAGGCAGGCCTGCCCTCGCTTATTCCCAAGGCCTGGAGCCTTTGTCCTCTGAGCCCCCAGCATGCAGAACAGGAGACAGCTCTGCTGGCCCCACCGCCACCTTGAGTGCCTCACTCTCGGCCCATGGGCGGCCAGGCAAGGAGCCACGTGGGCTTGTTTCGTAGAGTCTGGGATTGTCTTGGGGGGAGGGTAGAATATACAAGTCCCTGTTCTCTCTCTCTAGCTGCCACTTGGCTTAATCCAAGGCAGCTGTGGGCCGTGTCCCCTCTTCCCCGTGTGGGTGCTGGGCCCCGCCCCCTTGGGCCCCCTGGCTGAAACTGCCAGGCCAAGAGTTGTAATCTGCCGGTTCTGGTTCCCAGCCTCTGGAGAAAGCAGTTTGAAGCGGGAAATTGCAAGCTTGCCTTTGCGGTTGGGCCTCCTGCCCTTGGGCTGGGGCGGCAGGGCCAGTGGCGTCATCTCCCATGCTGCCCACCTCCCACGTGCCTAGGCCCAACCCGGCCCAGAGGGTGGGTGGGCGGGGGTGCCAGACAGACTGGCCTGGCGGGGCTGAGGTGCAGAGCATTGGCTCCACACCTCACAGGTGCCAAGGCCACTCCTGCCAGCCTCCTCCACCTCACAGCCCTGGCCCAAGCAGGCCCTCGGAGCTGGCCAGCCCCTCTGTAGCCTGGCATGGCCTGCTTACAGCAGGGCCCCTGCAGGCTTTCCTGCAGTACCTCACTCATTCTGTGGGCCATATAATTAGTCAGGCTTCACGACTAATGACTTTCCCCCAACCTTCCAATGGCCTCGCAAATGGGCCCCACTGCCTACCCCCCAGTGAGCAGGGTGTGTCCTGTAGGTATGTGATAAGACCCCGCCCAGGGAAAGCCAGCACCCTCCCTGGCCCTGCTGAGGCCTGGACTCCAGCTGCTTCTGTTAAGATGCACGGTCAAAGATACACGGTCATTTCTTACTCAGCAGGCTGAGTTGGAGGGTCTGTCCCTGGTCTTCCTACCCCAAGGTGTGAGTGACCCAGCTCCTTCCAGGCCGTAGCCGGGCTTGATCCACAGAGGGCCAGGAAGTGTCCTGTGAGTAGGACGAGGGGCCTCGCATCACAAGCCCTGGTCCAGCCCTATAGCCCCAGGATCCTGGCCCCCAGCCAGCCAGCCAGCCACTGTGGTGTGACCCTGCTTCCCACCCCTACCGCAGGGAAAGAAGCCATGCTGAAGCACCGAGACTACGAGACGGCCACCCTGTCCGACATCAAAGCCCTGATCCGTAAGCACGAGGCCTTCGAGAGCGACCTGGCCGCACACCAGGACCGCGTGGAGCAGATCGCCGCCATCGCCCAGGAGCTCAAGTACGTCGGCTCCTGGCCTAGCCGGCCTGCACCTTCCTGAGCCAGGCTCCTGCTCCCTGGGCCCTGGGCTCTGAGCTCCATCCAGCCTGCTGTTCCGCTCCCCAGGGAGCCGGCTGCACAGTGAGCCCTTGTTGCGCCGGCCCCTTCCCTCGGCCGCTCAGAATACACCTATTGTGCCAGCTTCCAGGCAGCCGACTCGCACCCCTCCGTCCCCGCCCAGCCAGATAAACTTGTGTGCACAATTAGTACACTCAGCAACGAAGCCAGTGAATGGGGCCTCAGTCCTCGGTGGTGGCCGGCCCAGGGAGGCCTCTGAAGAGAGGCCCCAGCCGTTACTTCATGGAAAATCCTTGTGCGGGTGCCCAAAATAGCCGTCTGCGCTGCTCAAAAATAGGCTACAAGGCTAGAGCCACCCTTTCCTGACGCCCCTCCAAGGCCTTCCCGCACCCACGGGGATGCTGGCACAGGACTATTTCCTCCTGCCTGGGAGCCACGGCGCCCCTACTGTGAGCTGCAGGCCCCCAACAGCGTGCTTGCCCACACAGAGGGGCCTGGTGACAGATGGAGACAGCCCTGGGCTCGTGGGACCAATGTGCTGGAAGTTGGCAGGAAACTGATGTAAGAGGAATTATAGGCCAGGCTAACGCTGGAAAATGGGCAGCTCTATAGAGTAGTCCTGGAGGACAGATATGCTGGGGTGCTATCCGAGGTGTTCTTTATTCCCATAAGGGCCCCCACGACTGCCAGGGTGAGTCTGGGCAGTCTCGCTGGGCCTTGATTATTACCAGCAGTGAAAACTCACAGAGCCCTCGATGGGGTGCTCTGTCCCAGCCCAGGTGCTCGCGCAGCCAAGGCACTGAGAGAGTAAGAAGCTTGCCCCAGTCACACGACTAGCTCCCCAAACCTCGCCTGCTCTTCCCTGATTCCTATACCCTGTTCCACTCACCCCCAGGCGCCTTCCTGGGCTGAGATGATTGGGATTCTCAGGGTGACAAACACGGTTAAGTGTGCAAGGTTGTAGGTTCTTCCCTGCCCAGAGTGGCCTCCAGAGATGGGCTAGCTGGCTGGGTTCGGCTCTGCACATGAGTCAGAACCCCTACGGCAGCCCCTGGCAGCCACAGTTTGCCACCACTTCTCGGTTGCTTAGAAAGAAGGCTGGGAAATCCCAATCTTGGAGGCCAGCCACGTATCTATTAATTATTTCATACCCGTAAATAAACTCACAGCTTTCAGTGAATTCAAAAGGCTCGGGCGGGGTAGCAGAGGCCAGAATTGCTGCGGAAGCTGCGTGTAGCCCACCCCTTCATCCCAGGCACCGAGGACAGTCCCCTGCGTTTGTTTCTCAGCCATTGAATTCCATTGTTCTTTCTAATAGCACTTAGTATCATATCACAGACGATGTCCCTGGTAGGGAGCCCACCCATCCGAGGGACTCCCCACTAGGGAACAGTGATGCCAGGGGACTTGGCTTAGAGCCTGGTCCGATGGCCACACCTGGGAGCCCTGCCCTTTTATCCCAGGATATCCTGAGGGTGGGGTGGTCTGTGGCCTACGTCAGAGGGCCACTAATTGACACATCTGGAGGTCCATTGAGACCTTGAAGGGGGTGGGTCTGGGCACCCTTAGGGTCTCATGGCTCCTTCCCCACTCGCAGTGAACTGGATTACTATGACTCCCACAACGTCAACACCCGCTGTCAGAAGATCTGTGACCAGTGGGATGCCCTGGGCTCGCTGACCCACAGCCGCAGGGAGGCCCTGGAGGTGAGGCTGGAGGGGGCCCGCTGCCTCAGGGCTGGAGAAGGGGGTACACTGATTACTGACTGTGTCACCCCCTCCCCTTAGAAAACAGAGAAGCAGCTGGAGACCATTGACCAGCTGCACCTGGAGTATGCCAAACGGGCGGCGCCCTTCAACAACTGGATGGAGAGCGCCATGGAGGACCTGCAGGACATGTTCATCGTCCACACCATTGAGGAGATTGAGGTCTGCCCACCCCACCTCACCCCACCTCACCCCCAGGGGGGCCACCAGTCTGGGACCCCACTCACGAGCCCCTTTCCCCCAGGGCCTGATCTCAGCCCACGACCAGTTCAAGTCAACCCTGCCGGACGCTGACAAGGAACGGGAGGCCATCCTGGCCATCCATGGGGAGGCCCAGCGTATCGCCGAGAGCAACCACATCAAGCTGCTGGGCAGCAACCCCTACACCACCGTCACGCCCCAGATCATCAACTCTAAGTGGGAGAAGGTGGGCTGCCCCCCTCCTACTCTGTCTGTCCCGGTGCCCACCCCTACCTCCCAGCAGCCCTACACCACCGGCAGCCCCCCAGACCATCACCCCCTCCACTGGGAGAAGGTGGCGGGGCCCAGGCATGGCTCCCCTGACTCTGACCCCTGCCCCCAGGTGCAGCAGCTGGTGCCAAAGCGGGACGACGCCTTGCTGGAGGAGCAGACGAAGCAGCAGTCCAACGAGCACCTCCGCCGGCAGTTCGCCAGCCAGGCCAACGTCATGGGACCCTGGATCCAGACCAAGATGGAGGCAAGGCCACACCCTGGCCACTGGGGGCCCTGCTGCAGGGCTCTCCTGTAACGCCCGGGCAGCTGGGTGTGGGTTTGACTGTGGGAGCCTCAGTTCCTGCCTTCAAGATGGGGCTGGAAGTAGGCCTTCGGGCCTTCCTCTGTGCAGTCACATGGGCACCATGGGTGCTGCTGCAAACAGCCACTCACTGCTGTCATCCTACCTCAGTCACACAGCTGTGGACCCCTCCATATGCCAGACACCACTTGGATTGGGAGCAGGCTCGGCTCAGCTGACCCCACCCTGCCAGGAGGTCCGCCATGAGGCTTGGCGCCCAGCGTGCAGCCCCGGTGGGGACACTTGGGGTCAGGGGAACCCGATATGAAGTCAGCCAGGCCTGGGCTCAAATCCCAGCTGGGCTCTTACCTTCTTCGGGCCTCCCATGCCTGCAGCCACACCTGTGTCCAGCAGGGGCCTCTGTAGGCCCGCCTCACAGGCATGGCTGCAGGCACCACTAGAGGGCAGCACTGAGGGAACAGGCAGCTAGCCTGGCATTCCTGAGGGTTGGCCACTGCTCCGCCTCACGTGCTTGGTGGCACCCCCTGCAGGAAATCGGGCGCATCTCTATCGAGATGAACGGGACCCTGGAGGACCAGCTGAGCCACCTGAAGCAGTACGAGCGGAGCATCGTGGACTATAAGCCCAACCAGGACCTGCTGGAGCAGCAGCACCAGCTCATCCAGGAGGCCCTCATCTTCGACAACAAGCACACCAACTATACCATGGAGGTACTGTGCCACCTCCGGAAGCCCTATCCTCCCACCCCCTCAAGCCAGGGCCCTGTCACAACCATGAGGGTTGGGCGGGCAGGCAGTGGCTGCTGTTTGCTTGAAGGGAACATCCGTCGAGGCCTCAGAAGAGGGTGTGCCTCCGCCTTAACAGCAAGCCTCTAGAGCAGTGCCTGCTGGGTCGGGGCCGAGGCTTCGGGGCCTGGCGAGCATTGCCCTGACTGCCCCCCCTCCTGGCAGCATCTGCGTGTGGGCTGGGAGCAGCTGCTCACCACCATCGCCCGCACCATCAACGAGGTGGAGAACCAGATCCTGACCCGAGACGCCAAAGGCATCAGCCAGGAGCAGATGCAGGAGTTCCGGGCCTCCTTCAACCACTTCGACAAGGTGAGCCGCCCCACCCCGCCCTCCCCAGTGTTGCTGTCCCTTCCCATCTCCGCGTCTGCCCGTCCCTGTGCTTGTTCGTTCATCTCTTCACTTCCCCATGGTTGAGTCCTGGCCACGGCATTGTGAGCCTCCAGCAGGGACTCCGGGCCCTAATTCCGGCTGCAGCCTCACCAGCACGGCCTGGCATAGGGCATGGCCCTCACCCGAGTGGGTGTCTGAGGGATCCGACTTGGCCTGGCCACTTGAGAGTTACGTTTTACTGGAGCTCACTCTGCACTTGGCATGGGACCTGGGTCCCAAGCAGTGGGGGGGGCAGCCCCTTCCTCCCACCCTAGCTCCCAAGTGTGAGCAGAGCTCCCCAAAGATCACAAGTCCTGGGCTCCAGATGAGGCTGCCCCACCTATCCCTGGCCATTACCATGTCCACGTCGCCCTCTAACTCTGTTTCCCTCCCCCGTGTGTCCCCCTCCATACCCTCTGCATGCACCCCGGCCCCTCCCCACCGCGCTCCCGCACGTCTCCACTGGGACTGGGCCGGCAGGACCATGGCGGGACACTGGGGCCTGAGGAGTTCAAGGCCTGCCTCATCAGCCTGGGCTACGACGTGGAGAATGACCGGCAGGTACGGCCCCAGCCTGGCCGACTCGGCAGTAACCACTCTTCTCTCTCCTCTCTCTTTCTCCCCTGCCCTCTCGCCATCGTGTGTCCGTGCCCCGGCACTCTCGGCCTCCTCCCTGCCCCATGTCTCTCTGGACACCTTTCCCTTTACCTGGTCTCTCGGGGCCTCCTCTGTCTCCCCGCTCCCCCACACTGTCCTTGTCCCCTGCTGTGCACACGGGCGGCCCCTCTGCTGCCCCGCGTCCTTGGAGCAGAAGCAGACAGGCAGCATGGACGCCGACGACTTCAGGGCTCTGCTTATCTCCACAGGATACAGCCTGGTATGCGCCCTGCCTCCCCCAGCTCAGCGCTGCCGCCTCCCACTACCCATCCCTCCGCCTCCATCTCTGGCTAGAGGCGGGGCCCAGCCCCTTTTTTGTGGCACCTGCCAGGCTGGGGTCCTTCCCATGATGCCCTGCATCCCTCCTCTCCTGGCTCTCCAGAGGGCTGCTCTGCGGCTGGCTGGCTCACGCTACCCCCTTCTCCTCTCCCTCTTCTCTCTCTCTCTGCCTCTCTCTTCCTCTCTCCTGTCCTCCAGAACTAACTCTTGAGACTAGGCCTGAGGCACAGCAGACCTGTTGAGTCCACACCCAGCTCCCCATTTCCCGGAGGGTACTAGGGAGGGGAAGAAACTGGGGGCCAGGACAGGCGAGACTGTCAGGAAACTGGGCGTGCCCACTCTTCACCTGGCCTGCCTGGCCCACCCCACTCACCAGCACGCTGCCCCATCCCCACGCCCACCTCACAGGGTGACGCCGAGTTCAACCGCATCATGAGTGTGGTGGACCCCAACCACAGCGGCCTGGTCACCTTCCAAGCCTTCATCGACTTCATGTCCCGGGAGACCACAGACACAGACACGGCAGACCAGGTCATCGCCTCCTTCAAGGTCTTGGCCGGGGACAAGGTAAGCAAGCATCTGGTGGCCCCCGGGAGGGCTCCTGGCAGAAGTCATGGCCAGGGTTGGGTGGGCATGCAGGGGTTGTGGCCTGACCCCCCGCCTGCCACCCCCAGAACTTCATCACAGCTGAGGAGCTGCGCCGGGAGCTGCCCCCAGACCAGGCAGAGTACTGCATTGCCCGCATGGCGCCCTACCAGGGCCCTGACGCCATGCCGGGTGCCCTCGACTACAAGTCCTTCTCCACAGCCCTGTACGGCGAGAGCGACCTGTGAGCCCCAGACCCCCGAGCGCCCCCTCCTGGTGGCCTCCCAGGGGGGACTCAGGCAGAGCTCTCCTCTGACTCTGTATCTATGCAAAGCACTCTGTCCATCCGCTGGGGGGTAGGGGCACAGGAGGGCAGGCTTTCCTTCTCTGCTCGCTGGCACCCCAGGTTTTTCCCACCCTCCGGAGGGAGGAGCGAGGAGCGAGGCTCTGGCCTGGTAAATGTATATGATGTGGTCTTATTTTTATTTGATGGGTTTGTTTTTTTTAAGTGGAGGGGACATGCCCTGGGGATGCCCCTGCTCACCTGGCCCCGCTGAGGTCCCTACAAGGCCTCCCACATCTAGGCCAAAGCCCCACGTGCCTTGTCCAGGAGCCCAGGCCCTGAGATAGGGCCACAGCTGCCCTCATCGCCTGCGATTGCCAGGTGAGCCCCGGCCCGGCCCGCGTGCGGTGCTGTGGGCTGGCAGTAGGCCCGCCGCTGCAGCCTCGCCTCTTTCAGATTTTCTAAGGACCAAAAAAAAATACACACACACACGAAAAACTATTAAAAAAACTTTCAGAGAATTACTATTTACTTTATGAACTTCTGGATTTATTATATAAATATATCTTCACCTAGCAACATAGCTCTGTGCTTCTTGTAATGAAAGTAGCGGTTTGCCCCCCCGCCTTGCCCGACAGGACTCCCAGGAGGAGGGGGAGCGCTGGCCTGGCTGCCTTTTAGTTGATGGTTGTGCGCCCTTGTTTATTTCCTTGTTTTTGTTTTGTTTTGTTAGTTTATTCTGATTGATTTTTTTCTCTTGGTTTCTGGATAAACCACCTTCTGGGGCAGGAATAAACATGTAATATTTTTAAGACGGACTCCTAAAGCGTGCTCTCTTTCTCCTCTGTGCCCCCATTTCCCAGGAGGGCAGGGCGGGCGAGATGATAGCAGCAGGACCGGCTCAGTGGCACCCAAGAAGGAGCGAGCAGGGTGCAGAGGGATGTAGTTGGGTGGCAGGCCCAGCGGGGCCACGCTCTGGGACCTGAGCCCTGGGACCAGGTAGCAAGAAAGCAAAGTCAGAATGGGGTGGCTGCGCTGACGTCAGACACACGCACACACACACACAGTTTGGGGCTGGGGAGCGCGGGGCCCCCATAGCTCCCACTTCCAACAGTGCAGCAGCTCTCCACCTGTGGCCCTAGGAGAATGTGGCCACCTCCGTCCACTGTTTGTGAGTCAGGCAGACAACTCCTTCCCCACCGTCCAGGTGCCGGCTGCAGTGGCCTGTATAGAGGCAGGACATGAGTATCCCCTGGAGCCCTCCATCCCTCCCCCTCCATCCCTGGAGGGCGGGCAGCACTCACGGAAAATGCAGGTGAGCCGGGCAGCGCAGGCCACAAAGCGCTCTAAGTCCACACGTAGGCGGCTGTCCCGATAGCGGCTAGTGAGGACCTGGGTCAGCTGGTTGTTCAGATGGAAGCCTGCGGGGAGGCCACCTCAGCCCAGGGTCCTAACACCACCCCAGCCCTGCACCTAATCCCTCTGGGAAAAGTGAGACAGCACAGAACTATTGCGAAGCAAGCTCTGGCCATATGGCCACAGGCAAGCCCTTTGTTCCTATGGACTCGCGTGTCCACATCCGTAAGATGCCGGCAGCCTGAGCGTGATGGGACCACGGGAAGATGATGGGGAGAACTTTCTCCTGTGGAACAGCTGTTGAGTTGACACAAGTCCAACAGCCCCTCCCTTGGACAGAGTGAAACTTGCTTTGAGTTGCCAAGACTGGATCTTGAAGGGAGCAGGCAGCCTCATCTTTGTCACAGGGTGGCTGGTGGGCTTGAACTGCTTACCTTGTGGGTAGCAACCAGCTCAGTGCCTAACCTACTAGGCCTCCAGGCTCCTGCTGTCTAAAAAGAGGTACTCACATGCCCCAAACGGGTAGATCATAGATGTCCTTGGAGACCAGTGTCCCCACACACCCAGGTACACACAGTTCTCAGGAGAATTTTATCCCCTTGCTGCTTCCTAACACCCACGTTTGCCCCCTACTCGGTGTGTGCACACATCACACATCGAATATTGTCAGGGAGACCCCCGGGGGTGCAGTGACTGACCACCCAGCTGCTTCTGGGTGTTCCCGCAGCGAGAGACAGACAGACAGACACAGCCTCTGCCCACACCTGCCGCTTTCAGTGCCAGCCTCAGCTCATAGGAGTTCATGGTTCCCGAGGCGTCCTCATCAAACTTGTCAAATGTGGCCTGGGGGCATGAGGGAGGGGAGGTCAGTGCCTCCGATAGGACCCCGAACTGAGGGACAGGTGAGAGGGCCCAGGATGCTTGCTCCCATCCCAGCCTCCTTGCTGGCACGATGGTGACTTCCAGGCCAGGGCCTGTGCCTGTCCCACCCACCCAGGGGCCATGGGTGTCCTGGCCAGGCCCCAGTCTGTATGCGTGGTCTGGGGCCCCTGAGCCTATTAGAGGCACCCCTCCCAGACAAAGCAGTAGCCCCACCCAGCACCCACCTTACCTGCCATTCCAGGAGGCGACCCCAGAGCTGCTGGAAGCAGGGCAGGGCCAGGCGTCCCCCGTGCTGGGGAGAGGGCAGCTGAGTAAGCTGGGTGCCCAGGGAGAGGCAGGATCCCAACCCTTCCCAGCCCAGGCATGCCCGTGTACCCCAAAACACTGCACCAGCTGTTCACAGGTCCTGAGGCCAATCTCTCCAGGGGTCCGGCCGTGGGCCCTGACTGGGAAAAACACTCCCTAGGGACTGACATGGGGGGGGGGGGCAGGGCATTCCCTCTCTAAGCAGGCATTGTTGGGGAAACTGAGGCACCACTGGGAACTAGTAAAGCTGAGATGGGGCCCAGGCAGGTAGAGGGCCAGGTCAGGGTTAGCCCACAGCAGCTGCACTCCTACCTCTCTCGGTAGATCAGGGGTTGCCTGTTTGTGGCTGAAACCCTGCCCCGCCCTGGCCACACAGACCAGCAAAGGGCTGCAGATCTGATGGCAAGGGTCCCTAGCCAAGACACCACACGCACAACTCACCGGGCTCCAGGGCAATGCTCAGTAAGACTTGGAGCTGGGGGGACACGAGCTCGTCCTCCTGGGCAGGGAGAGGGGGTCTGTGGGTCCCTCCATGTAAAGTCAAGTCCCACAGAGCAGTCTGAGCGCCCCCAGCTGAGCCAGCAGCACAGACCCGTGGGCCCCAGAGTCAGTGTGTGGTGGGGGCGGGGCCTGTAGGGGGGCACCAGAGAGGAGCAGGCACTCCAGGCCTGGAAGGGGATTGAGCAAAGGCCCTGAGACAAGGGAGAGGGCCTAGGCGGGCACGACTCCCTCAGTCCAGCCGGCCACTCGTACCTCTCCGGCCAACTCCCGGAACAGCAGCTCCAAGCCTAGCGACAGGGGCGCACAGGGGACCTGGGGATGGGGTGGGGGTTAGTTCTGCCCCAAGGAGCTGCCCGCAGTGCCCCTCCCGGCGCAGCTCCCAGCTCACCGCGAGGACCTGGACATCGGCGCTGATGACGTCGTCAATCTCCCTGCAAATGACAGAGACACGTGGAGGGCGGGGCTGGTCCCTTGACGGGTCGGGGTCGAGGAAGGGGCGGGGTCGAGGAAGGGGGGCGGGGCTCACGCAGCCGCGTGGCGGCGCTCCGAGAAGATGCGCAGCGTGAAGTCGGCCTCGTCGTCGGCGCGGGCGGCGCTGGGCACCACCAGGTAGTGGCCCGGCGGCAGGCGGCAGCGGCGGCTCACGTCGCGGCGCGCGCTAAAGGGCGAGCGGTCGGCGCGCAGCAGGCCTGGCAGGAGCGCGCGGCTGTGCGGCGTGTCCCAGAGGCCCAGCAACTGGGGCGGGAGGGAGGGGGGCGTCACGAGCCCCAAGTCCACCCAGCCCCACCTTCCAGGCCTTGCCGCCCAGGCCCCACCCCACCAGCACGCCACGCTCACCCCAGACCTTGCCCCTCCCTCCGTGACCTGCAGCCCGCCACCCAGCACCACTGCACGTGTGGTCCAAGGCCCCGGCCCGTGTGTAAAAACCCACCTCCTCGGGGATCTGTGAAGAGGAAGAGGAAGGGGCTTCTGTGGCTGGGGACAGCTGGCCACACCTCACAGCCCTCCCCCTGCCCCCCCTCAGACCCCTACCCCCTTCTTCCCAGAACCTTCTTCCTCAGCCCCTGCACCAGGTCTGACCCAACCCTTCTTTGATCTTTCTGACCACCCTCTGCCGCCTCCCTGACCCCTCCCTGTGATGCCCCTCCAACACCTGCCCCCCCCCTCCCACCTCCCTGGCCCCACCCCCTTGTTCAAGCCTCACCTGAAACACGTGGAAGCCAACGGTGAGGTAGGTGAGGCCCTGGGCCCTCAGACGTCGCCGGTTTCGCTGGATGAGCGACAGCAGGATGGTGCACTTGGGAAGGCGCCCCCCCATCGCTGGGCCCCGCATCCCCGCTGCCCCCCAGCCCCCCCATGGCCCCTGCTCATCATCATCATCCTCCTCTTCATCAGGCTCCAGGAGGGTCAGCCGGAATTGAGGGTTGGTCCAGAAGGTCTCTAGTTGGGGAGAGAGAAATGGGGTCATCTGGCCAGCTGCAGCCCCAACCCACCCCTCCCTTATGTGTCTCTTGGCAGAGCGGGGTGGGGTCCTCCAGGCCTCACCAGCACCAGGCTGGCTCCCACCGGAGTTGAAGCCTCGGACCCAGCGGCCTTGGAAGGTGTGGACGTGCCAGCCGCCCCCTGCAGGGCTGGGACCCAGCACTTCCGGGCTCAGCGAGCAGATCTGGACGGTGTTGAAGTGGTGGAGGAAGTCCTGCAGCTCCATCCTGGACGGCAGTGGGCAGTCAGGCCTGCCCAGGGAGGGGCGCCTGAACCCAGGCCCACTACCCTGAGCTGATGCCGACTCTTGGTGTCCCTGGAGGACAGGGTAGAACTGCCCCCTGTGGGGGCCCGAGACTGCAAACTACGGGAGTAGAAAGCTTCATCTTTCTCCCTCGGAGGGCCTGGTGGTTTCGAACTGTGGATCTTGTTAGCAGCCCAACGTGTAACCCCCTAGGCCACAGGGCTCCTTCAGGAGCAGACGGCCTCCTGTTTCTCCTAAGGAGTGGCTGGTGGTTTTCAACCACTGACCATGCAGTTTATAGCCCAGCGCCTAATCCAAGATGCCATCAGGTCTCCCTCCCAAATAACCAAGGAGCCCAAATGCCCAAACAATTGCCAAGTGCCCTCCAGCCTCCTCCATCTATTAGCATGCCTCCAGGAATGAGCCCCAAAGTGCTGTGCCCTCTGCTACTTCCCAAATCTCAGTGCCCGGAAATGCCCAATGAGACCACCCCCCACATATTGCCAAATGGACTTCAACACCCCACACACACACATACACCCTCCCCAGTACCAAGATCCTCAACCTCGCTGAATTACCAGTCACTGTTTTTCAGCCCCCCAATATTCTCAGTGTTCCAGAGATCACCAGTGTTCCCCCATTGCCCTTAATGTGACCCATCTCCCTCCAAATCCAAACCCCGAAGCCTTTGTCATGGCAGCAGTTCTGGCTCCCGGTGACCAGATACGAGGGAGCAGAGCTGCCCCAGGGGTCCCTTGGCTGTCATCTGGGCAGCACTAGATCACAGGTCTCCTTTCTGCTCTAAACTACTGGCTCCAGGGTCTTCCGAGATCACCACCTCTTTCCCCCTGGTAGAAGCCAGCATCCAAATGGCCACCAGTAATGGTCACGTGGCCAGGTCAACCCTAATAGGATGCATTGCCCTGTTCACTTGGGACACCCCCACCGGAGGGGGTGCAGCTCGCTCCTGCCCACTCACCAGAACTCGCCGTCCTCCTTCCTCACCAGCAGGGCTTCTCGCCACTCAGCAGGGATGGCATCCCAGCGCGGGCAGCTGGGGAGACGAGTGTGAGGATTGGGCAGGGGGGCAGGCCCCATGCGCCCTCTCCCCAGGCCCGTCCCACCTGTCGCTCCAGGCCCCAGTCCATTCCACGCGGCCCCACGGGTTCCGCAGCCGCAGCAGCTGCACCTTGGTGAAGCCCAGCCACACCTGATGGGGGTAACGTCAGTGGGGGTTGGGGAAGGGACATTCCCCAGGCCGGCCCCTCCCAGGGAGAAGTCCTCACCTTGTGGGTGCCTGTGACCGAGTACGCGTGTCCCTTCACCAGCCCTTCATCCGTGCGGTACTCCCCCTGGTTGCTCTGGGCGGGGAACAGTGAGGTCATGGGGGCAGGCAGGAGGGCCACTGTGCCTCTCTGACTCCAGCTTCCCCCCACCAAAGCCGGGGGGGGGGGGGAGGGGCAGCGGCAAGGAGATGAATGAGGAGACGGAGAGAGAAAGAACCAGGAGAAAAGCCAGAGACTTGGCAGCGGAGGCAAGAGAGACAAGGATGAAGGGTGGATGCCTTAGACACAGAGGGAGAATGACAGTGTGACCGGTCACAGATGAGGGCTGAGCCCTGAGAATCAGTCCCGGGACTCGAGCTAAAGTTCTCAGGAAAAGGCTTGCTTTTTTCCTAACCCTGCGGAGCCCTGGAGGGTCCAGTCTGTCTCAGAACTAAAACAGAGCCCACTGCCTTCGAGTTAATTCCCATTCATAACTAGCGGACAGAGGAGCACTGTCCTTTGAATCTTGACAAGGGTCAGCAGCTTGGTTGTCCTGTGGTTAGCAGCTCAATGGGTCGCCCACTGCGCTACCTGGGCTCCCGCCGGAGAATGACGATCAGAAAGACGCACTCAAGAACAGCCTGTGAGCACCTGGATCCGGCTGTGCCTGAAGCTGGCTCGTTTAGGAGTGAGCAAAGGCTTTGCCATTCAACTTGCTCCACTGTGACTTGAGAGGCACCCAGCACCCCAGCCCCGAAGTACAACTCTCACCAGAGCCGTGGCCCCCACAAGGGACTCCTTGGCCAGGGCATGGCGCAGAGCAGAGAAGAGGCCCGGGCTGTCTTTCCTCAGGTAGAGCACCTCGCCGACACCGCCGGTGAAGTCCACAAAAGCCTCGTTCATGTGGCCTCCCCGCATCACCTCGTAGGATCCGTGCAGCCTGTGGGGGCAGTCCCCGATGGGTCTGGGGCACGTGTGAGTGTCTGGGGCCTGAGGGGGCTCTAGGAGGGTCCTCTGTGTAGGCTCAGGTAGTGCGGTGGTTACACAATGGGATGTTCACTTCAAGGTTAGCAGTTTGGAACCCCAGTGGCTCCAAGGGAGAAAGATGAGGTTTTCCGTTCCCCCATCCCAGGGGGTCGCTACGGGTCAAAGTTGGCTCAGTGGCCATGAGTTCGTTTTGGTTGGTTTGTTAGTTTGTTTTGTAAGTTTCTGGAGTTTCCAGATGGTCTGACCCCTGAGGGGGACACACCTTCACTATGATTTAGTTCAGGGTGTGAGGAACGCAACTTCTGGGTCCTTAGGAATCCTGGCTGATTGTTGGGTCCCTAGGGATGTTTTGTGGGAAATGGCGGGGGTGGGGGATGGGGGGCCCGCGTGCTGGTTAAGACTTGGGAGTCCTCAGGCTGTGAAGGAACCCTGGTGACAGAGCACTTATGCGCTGGGCTTCTAGCCACAAGGTCAGCAGTTTGAAACCAGCAGGTTCCCCCGGAGAAAGACAGGGCTTTCTACTCCTGTCAAGCGTGACAGCCTCGAAACCCACGGGGGCAGTTCTACCCTGCCCTGCAGGGTCCCTGTGAGTCAGCATCCAGTCCATGGCAGTGAGTGTGAGGTTTGGGGGGGGCTATTGTGTTTAGGGGTCACTGGGGGGGTGTTTGTGGGACTCGGAGCTGTGTCTGGAGTATTCCACGGGCTGCAGGGCTCGGGGGGGGGGGGGTGTGGGGCTTAGGGTTGTCCTGGGGGCACTCACTTGGCATAGGCCTTTTCCAGGAGCGGGGCCCAGAATTCATGCCGCTGCTGCGAGCGCACGAACATCAACTTGCCCTCATGCACGGGGAGCCGGTCATCCACCACGACGTCCACCCAGTGGCCGAATTGCCAGAGCTGGCGGGGGTGGGAGGCTGTCAGCCTCTGTGCCCACCAGGTCCTTTGAGCACCCGCCCAGGGAACAGCTGGGAAACCCATGCCCCCGTGGGAGAGAGGCTGGACCAGAGGAGCTGGGCCCTACCTGAAAGTGGAAGACGCCTGCGTAGCCACCTTGGAAACTCTGTCCGGGGGGGACCACCCGGCACAGGAGGCGGGGGTAGAGAGTGAGAGAGGCGGCGGCCGCAAGAAACCAGCAGTTACCTGGGGGAGGACTAGGTCTGGGAGGGGTCCAGGGAGGGAGATCACCGGGGTGGGGATGAGCGGGGGAGGGACAAGGGGGAGACCGAGGGACAAGGGTCAGGTAAGGGGGACTGAGGAGGAAAGATGGGGGATGGCAGGTGAAGAGGAAGTGGGGCTGGAGGGAGGACCGGGCAGAGCTGTCAGGGCCCCAGAGACATCTGCTGGGTTGGGGGATTCAAGATGGCTGCAGGGGTCTCACCCAGTCTCCCCTGACAGACGTCTGTCCGGCTCATGTCCTCACAGATGAACTGGGGCTCCTCACAGAACTCCTGAGTAACAGGGAGCCCAGGCGTCAGCCTGGCTCCAGCCGTCAGGTGCCTGCAGCCCCTCGGGCTCCACTTGCTCCAGGAAAGGGCTTCCGACCCACATGGGAGAGGCCTTGGGCTTCCCCAGGCCTCCCTGGACCAGCCAGTCCTACAGTGATTTCCCCCCTCTTCCTTCACACCCCAGAGTCCCAGCCTCTTCTCCCTCAGACTAGGAGTCTCAGCCACTATCCCCTTCCGCCCTCATCTATGAGTCCAGTTGCCCTCCCTCTAACTAGCAATCCCAGCCCCCTCCTCCCTCACACCCAAAGGTCCCAGCCCCAGCCCCACTTTACATGGGGCCTCTTCCATTCCACCCCTTTGGCTTTCTCTGAGTCGGGACCCAGCTGGTCATAGCCCAGGGCATCTGGGCCAGCAGGAAAGTAGGGGTCCCGGAACAGGATCCCCGCCTCCAGGCAGGCTGCCCGGATTGCCTCGAATCTCTGGCCTCTGAACAGCTTTGGACCGCCAGCTCCAGCCCCAGCCTCATCATCCACCAGCTGGATGGTCACCCCCCTGCTGCCGCACGCCATCTGGACACTGGGGAAGGGCAGGCTGGCCCCAAGCTCTTTAACCTCCTGAGTCATGGGGGGGGCGGGGCCTCAGCTCCATCAGAGTGCTGGTTGGGGGGGCTCCTCCCTCGTTAATATTAATTGATGGTTTGGGGTGCCGAAGATCAGGGACGCGTATTCAGTGGTTTCTTCCCTGGGGCGTGGGGCCTTCAGTTGTGGCCAGGGTAGCAGCTTAATGAGCTTGACTGGCAGCAGGAGGGAAGGTGGGCAGAGCTGAGGGAGGACTGGCTGCCGCTGTGGGAGTGCCCAGAAGGAGGTCATGGGGGGGGTGTACGCTATGTGGCTGGAGGAGAGCAGGCGTGGGCAGGAGGCATGTCCTGCTGTATCTGGCATCTCTTCTTCTGTCTGTCTTTCTCCTGTGCGTCTTTTCCCTGTCTTTCTCCTTGGGCTCCTCTCTCTTACTCTGGAGAGAGACAAGACTCAAGTCTTGGTCCCTCACTGTTTGTCCTTACCTTTGTCTCTGTCCTTGACACCCACACCAGGGTCTGAGCCTCTCTCTGCTCACTCCCTAAACCCCATTCTGCCTCCCTCCCTCCCCAACAAGGTAGCCCCCAGCCTGGTCACCTTGCAGAGCTGCCCAGACAGGGCCCACTCGGTACCTGCTGGGCTCTGGGCTACCCCCATCCCAGGGACCTCCCAGCCCATCGCTACTGGCTTAGACCTCGGGCCCTGGGACTGGAGTGATATTTCCCCCCCAAAGGATGCTGAGCCTTTACAAGAAATGGGCAAATGAGTTCTGGAAGAGGAGAAACTCACCAGCACGCCTCCCGGAGTGCTCAGACCCTGGAAGAACCTGGTCCCCTGGGGCACCCCGCGTGCCCCCCCCCCCACGGGAACAGCTCAGGGTATCATCAACGGTGCAGTCCTGAGTGACCCTGTGCACAACAGAGCAGACACTGCCCAGCCCTGTCCTGGCCATCGTCCCTGTGTTTGGGTCCCTTGTCCCAACCACTGAGGGCCTTTCTCTTTTTCAGGGACCCCACACTCTCCCAGGCATGATGCCTCTTCTCATGGACCGATCGGCCCTGATAACACGTCCAACGCAGGCGAGACAAAGTCTCACCATCATCACTTCTAAGGAGCGTCCAAGCGTTGGTTCTTCTGGTAGCCCAGCACCCCGTGGTACTTTTTTTTTTTTTTAACATTTTATTAGGGGTTCATACAGCTGTTATCGCAATCCATACACACATCAATTGTGTAAAGCACATTTGTACATCATTCTCAAAACATTTTCTCTCCCCTTTAACCCCCCGACATCAGGTCCTCATTTTTCCCCTCCCTCCCCGCTCCCCCCTCCCTCATGAGCCCTTGATAGTTTATAAGTTGGTATTTTGCCATATCTTGCCCTGCCCGATGTCTCCCTTCACCCACTTTTCGGTTGTCCATCCCCCAGGGAGGAGGTCACATATAGTTCCATGTAATCGGTTCTCTCTTTCCTACCCATTCTCCCTTTACCCTCCCAGTATCGCCACTCACACCACTGGTCCTATAGGGCTCATCCGCCCTGGATTCCCTGTATTTTCAGTTCCTATCTGTACCAGTGTACATCCTCTGGTCTAGCCAGCCTTGCAAGGTAGAATTCGAGTCATGGTAGTGGGAGCGGGGAGGAAACATTTAGGAACTAGAGGAAAGTTGTATTTCTCATCGTTGTTACATCGCACCCTGACTGGCTCATCTCCTCCCCAAGGTACTTTCAACATTCTTCACTGACCGTCATTCAAAGGCCTTTATTCTCCCTCCGTCTTCCTTATATGTTGTGGTAGTTACACAATTTCATGTCAACTCGATAAGAATGAAGGGGTGGGGTTTAGCCTTTCAGTCAGGTCACAGCCTGATGATCCCTCCTTGTGGGCATGACCTCATGAGAATTCTGGGCTTCCGCTCTTCCTCCCTGGAGGCAGGACACACACACACTCTGCTTCAACATTTCTGTTGAGAAGCCACATGGAGCCACCCTGATGGCAGCCAGAGCCCTGGAGATGCTTCCACCGCCATTGGGCCCACAGGACTTTCCCCCCACCCGCCTGTGATCTTCCTGCACTCAGCATCATTGCATGTGCTGTGTGAGTCTAGAGAGGGATTTATGGACTAGTATCAGATTTAAGGGCTAATATCAAACTTATGGATTTGATCTGGGCTTGGAGGATTTATTGATGCATAATTACTTCTTGATATAATGCTCTCTCACACATCTTTAAATGACAATGAATTTGTTTCTCCAGTCTACCTGGACTAACACATGATGGTACCAGGAGTCGGGTACTAGAGAAACAAATCATCAAGACGGAGAGCGGATGCTTGTTTGACCTCTGCCTTATGGTAATTTTTCTCCTTTAGCTAGCCAGAGGTCAGATATGGCCATTCCGTTTACCGGATTGTTTTCTGGAAAGGGCATGGGGAGTTAAAATCTTGACTCTTTTCCTGGGTTGTCGTCTGGTTATTCCTGTTTGAAATGTCGAAAATGAATGTGATTCATGCATATGTTGAGCTCAGGGCGAAGTTGCCCCTTGGATATCTCAGAGACGATGCTGCTTAGACAAAAAGCCTGGCCCTGGCTTGCTGCAGTCAGAAGCCACAGACCACATTTCCTATCAATAGGGTAGTTTAGATAAGGATTAAGATAAGCTTAGATAAGGACAGAGCTTGACTGTTTTAAGGTTGAGTTTAGGATCTGGCTCTACCAGGTTTATACTGTTTTCTTCTGTCTATTGTTATTGATAAAATGATTGGTTGAAATGATGACTGGGAGGCAAAGGTAATGAGTGTAAGCCTATTTGCTTTCAGCCATCAATTTGAATCTTTAAATGGGTTAGGACAGGCCTGCAAAGAAGGCTCTGAAAAGATAAGCCCCACCCAGGGCTTTGGAGTACTCCACCCATGCATTTGAAGAGACTTGCCTAGAGGGATGCTGTAGAGACTGAAGAAGAGAAAAGGAACCCTTTGGCTTTTTGAATTTTGAACTAGTGGTTTGTGCCTGAGGCTGAAAAATCTGGAGCCATGAAGGAACTCTCCTCTCTAGGACTGAACTGAAGGGAACCTGTGAGCAGGCTGAACGCTTGCTAGGGGACCACCTGGATCCACTTGTTGAGTGGGAGTGAGAGAAACGCAGCAATAAAGAAACGGGTAGAGTCTGGTCACTGACACCCACAGACCTGGTTCACAGGGACTAGAGAAGACGAGAGTGGTTGACTGGTCTGAAGTTCATGACCTAGTACAAGGGGCTAGGGTTGTTGAGAATTTGTCATGGGGCCATGGTCTACAGAAAGGATAGCTGATGGGCAGCCTGGTGAGGCTAAGAGAGGAGGCCCACACTAAGTTGACCAGAACCCAAGGAGATGAAGAGAAGATTTTGAGCCTGTGAACTGGTGCGGATTGCTGCTGACTTTATGGACGGTCTGTCCTGATGTGACTTTGCTTAAGGAAGGTTCCACTGGCATGAAGATCCTTCACATTAAAGAACATGCTTGTCTTCTCAGAGCACTGGGTCGATGTAAGTGGGCCATATAGAAACTGGATACCCAAAATGGGGGGGATAAAGGCATGAAGTGCCTGGCTTACAAACTTTCATAGGTGGGGGAATATATTCATAGGGTTATAGGATTAAGGTGAAGGTGTTCACTTAACTGAAATTGTAAGGCATAGAATAGTGGTGTTTGGTTCACTGATAGAATATTATGCTTAGGAAGGAGCGAAGAGGGAAGAGTCAGCTGTGCCTCAGTGAGCCAGCCTTGGGGCTGGAGGGCCGGCCGGCCGGGCCTGTCGAGTTCCGTGTCTGAGGGAGCACAGGGCTTCCTCCTCATCAGAACAACACGTTCCTTGACCTTTAGGTGCTTTCAGATTTTTTTCATCTCAGAAAGAAAACAAAAATTCTGCACTTGGACTTGGCAAGCATTTCTATGTTAGGTCCTGAGCCCGTAGTCCTGCTTCTTTTGTCTAGCCGCGGTCCCTCCTCACCAAGCATGGGATCTCTTCTCTATAGTTCCCCCCAGGATTTGAAATGGAAAAGGCTGCTAGTTACAAAATGTGAGTCTGGGCCATAATCATTGACTGCCTGCTTGAGAACTTTTAGCAACTTAAAGGGAAAGGCACTGTGAATTCCTTGTGGGTGTTTCCCGTAAGACATTCTAAATTCTAATTCTCCTTCTGCAATCCCTCTTTCTACCCTTGAAAGTAAAGGTGCTTTCCTATACTTAGCCTCTTTGCTTCTGTTCTCTGAGCTCCTTCTTCTCAACCTGAATGTCTTGAAGTTCCACTCCCCTAACTACTTCTGTGTTAGCTCTCCTAGTTTGCATTTCTTTGGAGCTAATCTCTCTACCTCCAGCACTGGCTTGCTTGCTTGTTTTACAATCTCTGGTCTTTGTTACACTAAATTCCAGCAGGGGAGCAGATGCTTTTACTATGTCCCCTTCTGACTCAGGCTCAGTTTTTCCAGCTCTGCCTAAAATCATCTCATCTGCCTCATACCCATTCTGACTGCTTCTTACCAGATTTAAGTTTGGGTATCTTAGACGTTTCTCACTACTCTGCTGGTTCTGTTCCTTTGCTTTCCCTACCTTTGAAAGTGAGGGAGCTTCCTGGGATTGTTTAATAGCCTCGCTTTGGGTCTTGGAATCCACTGCCTCTAGTACTTTATCACCTTCAAACCTTCGGAGGCTGCAGTCCCCCGAGGGCACATAGGCTTTGGCCATGAGGTTTTCTTTAGAATCAGAGGCCCTGCATAACAAATCAATCCCTGCTTCTTCAGTTTTTCCTAAAGGTTCACCACCTAATTCATGCTCATTCAGAGAATTTAGCTTGCTTTTCTGGATTAGGATCGCTCACACAAGACTTCTCACTAGACTGATGATCCTCACGCTCTTCCTCCTGTACTAAAACCTCTTCACTTGAACCCACAGATACCACGTCTCCATAGGGATACTCTCCCCATTTCTGTGTGCTTTCTTTACGTTTACAATGACCTC